CAAACATTCCTGATATAATTGGCTTACCGTTATCGTTTAAGCTATCTTCTACGTTTACGCTGACCCAAAAGGCTCATTTTAACTTGCTTACGTTCATCATAAGTACGCTTTAACGTGAGGTTTTTGGTTAACTAATCGGGGAGATGGAGATAATGTAAAATAACAAATCTGATCTTTTCAAGTGGTTGTTTTCATGAAGGGAAGGTTATCCTGGCAAGTAAGAGGGTAATTCCACTCGCTTGTGAGAAGAGGTCAACTTTTTGTTTTTTTTTGTTCGCATCAAGATTGAAGGATCAAGTTTTGGAGTGGTCTGATTAACTATCAAATTCCTGCTAAGAATAAATATGGCCACTTTTCGACCAGACGACCAGAATCCCAAAACCTTATAACTGTTTCTCAAATGCATTGACGAGTACAAGATTGAGCGCAATCTCGTCAGGTTTCTGCATTCTGTTCAACTCTGATAAAGCATGCTATTTCCCACAATTCTACGGCTCGACTGGCATCTTAAATACTGTCTGTAAGCCTAATTGCAACGCGTTTGTAACAACCAAAATGACATATTCAATGCAAGATGTTTGAAAGCACAATTATTTTGATATGTATTGTTCAACTTGTACACATCCTTTAATGGGGTAACACATCTGTTATTGCACGACATTCCCTTTTATTTTCATGTTGGTTAATAAGAAGTGAAACAGTCATATAAAGAGAAAACAATTGTCCAATTATTTTATCTTGTCATATATATTCCTAAATTGAACTATATCTGTACAGCTTCCCGCGAAAAAACACAACAATTTCTACGCTAAGTGCCAGCCTTTCAAGTCTAGTTATGACGTGTTATTTAATTAAATGATTGCTTGAAAAAAGTTCTTTTTTTTTTTTACTCCTGGCTCACGGATGTTGTTGTATTGATCGAAACATCAGGGGTGTTGGATTTATCTCTTGCAATGTGGACTTCAATGTTATGAAGCTCCGTTGTGGCACCGACAGTAGCCCTTGGGAATCGGACCATTCCTTTTAATTTCTGTCTGAAGTTTTCGCTGAGCAGAGCATACACAAAGGGATTGATAGTAGAATTAAACAATACCAGAATGTTGGAAATTGCGATAACGACTTTATCCAACCGAAAAACCTCGAAAGCATGCAAGGTGTAAAGAATCTGGATTGTGCCCCAGCAGATTCCAAATATGATACTGACAACCACAGCCATTAAGGTGACTCGCTTGCGGACTCTCATTACACCCTGAGGATTGAAAAGTGTTTTAAAAATGGAAATTTTCTAAACATTTAAAAGAAAACTATCGAGACAAAAACTTTCTAAATGTTAAAATACCGTGATATTTTGTTTTATCTGCTTTTAACAAAATAATTCAGAGCAGTTGTTCTACTTTTCCTTCTCCATCGTCGGACGCTATCGTCAAAGCGCCAACTGAGGTTAGTTGAAGAGAACGAGGATAAACTGCCCGAGTACAGGACTTTAAAGATTGTTAGAATCCTCTTTTACTTTTTTTGACAAAAATTATTATGATATGAGGCAGTTTGCGGTAAATTCAAGGGAAATACGTGCTAGGCGCATGCCTGTTAAGAGAAAGTCAACACGAAGAAAATAAAATCGACGAACCTCGTTTTTTCATTTTTTGTCAACGCAAAATTCGTCGAGGTAATCTTTTGGGCCAAGTATGTTTGGTTAAGAAAAACTGGGTGTTCATTTGGTCTATCTTAAATCGTGTAAACAGAACAAACTTGAATAAATAAAGTAATATCTGACAATCTTGCCGTTACTCTTGGCCAAAAAAAAAAAACAAAAACAAACAGAAACGAATAAATGCCAAATTAATATAAAAAAGACAACATATAAACAAAAGGCAAAGCGAAAAAGGAAGAAACAGCGTCAACGACAACTAACGCAAAAAAAAAAAATACTCTTTTGAATTTATAAACTTGTAAAATACTTGCAAAAAAGTTTTCGCGGGCAGGTATCACGCGGTGTTTAAAATCGTCCTAGAAAATTACCAAATTGCTTTCAAATTTACTAAGCAAATTGTTTGAGTATCACGCTAAAAAGTCTCGGTCTTAAAGTACAAGATGTTAGCTACTGTCTGTCTCCCTTTTGTAGAGCCATTCTCAACCCCATACGAACTTCGAATTATATCATACTAGCGTCATATACTTGCGTTACACAAGCTACGAAACAGTTTGTCGCAAGTGAAACTTGAAGATTTCAAATTGGCAAAAAAAAAGGAAGCTAAAAAAGGAAAAACAGAAGCAAAAGAAAAAAAAAAGATACAATTGAAAATGGGATTGTATTATTTATGCAAATAGCGCACGACTTTGTAAGGGTACTTACTTTTTGCTGAGATGTCACAGTGTGGGCAACAATATTTGATTTAAACCATAACGTGCGCACGACTCTGGAGTATAACGTGACCATCAGTACCAAGGCAACAAATACTTGGGTGGTGTTCCATAAAGTATAAGCCTTGGTTACCCATTCTTTAGGAAAAGTTTCATGGCAGTGGCCATTATTGACCCTCATGTACATGGTGTTGGGGATGCATGTTATTGCGGCAAAGATCCAGAAAGCTGTTATTATTACCTGCAATGAAATGTCGAAATTTGTGAGTTCGAATAAAAATCAATAGTATTAATGATAATTATTATTATATCAATAATAATAATAACGATGAAGATCTGTGATTATGATAATGTCAGGGACACTAACAGTGACAGTGTCAATGACAATGATAATAATAATCAAAACCATCATAAATTCTGGAACGTGACATGTTATATCATCAACCTGTTTTGAGCACTAATAGGACAATGAACACTTCATACTTGTAATTGGACAGTGTACACGTCATGCCTTTGTAATTGACAGCACGTGTTCTGTGCACATTCGCGTAGTGTTGCGGCGAATTTACTGTTGTTGTTGTTGTTTTTTTTTTATGTAAACGTATAAACGACGGTTGTCTTATGCCAAATTTTTTCATAGTCTTGATTTATCAGTAAAAGGACTTAGTTTCGTCCAATTCTGTCTGTAATCATACTCGTAATTAACAAATCGGAGTCCCACCTCGCGGTTGTCCGATTTCGTCAATCACTCGTATGATTACAGACCGAATTGGACTCCTCTCAGTCCTTTTACCATTACTAACTGCACGAGCTGCCCTTATATTCTGTATGTTTCTGGGCCTGCACCCATGGGACTTGTTGTTAATTCCGAAATGTGCCCTTGTTTATACGGCTTTCGATGTATACTATACTAATTACGGTGAGTACAAAGAAGGGGTGCATGATGCAAGTTAAAAAAAAAATCCACAGGTTATGAAACGTTGGCGACAATCACATTTAGTGAAGTCTACTTTGCTTAAGGTTATTTCTACCCGTTGTGCTCATGAAAGTGATCTAGATTCCAGGGAATATTTGGGTTTAGAAGTTACAATCGACTTAGCCTTGTAGTGTATGGTGATCTTTCTCGGTTTTTCCTGTCAAGACTCTGGACACCTACCTTGGGCTGATAGAAGTCCGACAGTACGATCTTCGCACTGATCATTGTTCTTATTAGACCACGCACAGTAAGTTTTTAAAAAATATTTGAGACTTCACTGACGCCAATGCCAAAAAACTTGCCTACTCGCCTATGTTAGAGCTCGAAGTTTAGTTGTGAGAGGGTTGTTTAATGTTTCCATCGTAACTTTCGATGCAGAAAAACTGAATCAGAACGAACCTTCAGTTTTCTCTTAGTGAGATTCCATTTCTTGCCATACGGATCAGTGACTGCATAGTATCTTTCGACATAGTATCTTATCAACAGGCACAAAACGAAACCACCCTCCCCCTCGGGGTGCTTTGAATTGAGGTTCACAATAAGGTTTGGTGCAATCAACAACGCAAAGAGACCATCCGCCACAGCAAGGTTAAAAAGTAGAATATGAATGGGGGTCCTATGGTGATGAAAATACGCAAAGAAATAGTAACTAGTAATAACAAAAAGGTATCGAGTTCGCTTCATTAAGTTGGCTTCCTGCTAGTTAGTTTATAGTCCTCGTATGGTATAGAACCTTAGCCTTTTAGCGCGTTAGTGCTCAACCGCCGGGCGACAGAGGTTGGAATACTCTGACGGACTCAGATCATCTGATATACTCCTTTTTCTCAGAATTGTTTCTATGTCCCGCGCACGTAGCAAGTTTTAAACTTGCTTGTTATCGGCTTTACACAAGAAAGTACTCTCAGAAACAAGTGATCTCTCAACTTTTTTTTCATGAAATTTGAGAATGGTCGATATCTCTAAAGTTAGACATTGCAAGCATTTATATAACTTAAGCTTGGCAAATGAATATCAAGGATAGAAACAATGATGTTTTGTTGTCGTAAGGACGTCATTCCCAACTCGGAAATGATATTCGTGAGTAGTCAGAAATAGATCACTAGATATATTACACCAATATCACGTTAACACTACATTTAAAGTCGAGACCGACTGAACAGTGAGATATGGTATCATTTTTTTAATTACGCACATTACCTGAGTGAACTATACAAGAAAAACTTATTGCCAAAGCCTTAATGAAGGAATTTTGCAGTTTTAGTCTGCAATACAGTGTCTTTCGAAATAGAATTAGGTGCTTCCCATTCTTGTCTTTTCTCTGGTGTAAATACCTGCAGTGCGGGTCTTTAACCGAATTTGCATCGCACACTCACGTCAACATTTATATCGGAAAAACTATGTATTGCTATTTTACCACTGGTATTATCTTGAATATCATCTGCAATGCTCTTCACTGAGTGACGCTGAAGTAATATAGGTTGTTTTTCAAAGCTAGAAAATCGCTCCACAATGCACATACGAGTATTAATCCCTGCTCATAAGGCTGTCAATAAGGGTGAAGCTTGCATGAGCAGGTGCTTGGTTCTCAAGGTTGGTTCTTGTATGCTCTGACAATTCACACGGACAACCGATTGGCAGCCAAAATACGCTATATATTGAACATCTTAAACGTACTCTAGTGCTTTTTCCGTTTGGGAAAATTATCAGACTTTGTCTAAAACAATGAAAAGTGTTGGAGAAAATGTCATCAAAACAGTGGACGTAACTTCAGCTTTATGACGACCAAGTGTTTGTGAATATATCACATCGCGTGAGTTGTTCATGTGGGGTGGCAGGCGAGGACACAATTACGCTTTCGAATTTATATATTTGAGCTCTGATCAATATTTCGTCATAACTCTTCTCTTTGCAGTTTGAAATTTCGTTTTTACAAATACTGCATGGGTCGAGGAATATACTGACACAGGAAAAGGTAACTATTAAATTTTAATATTGATTGGAGCCCGTAATATGGGGCAGTTTTGGATTTTTGTGTCGAACGGGAGCAAAACTAGTAGTTTTGCTGTTTCGATTTGTTGTACGCAGTCTAATTACTCCTGTAGTACTGTAAAAGCTTTGCTCATTGACCAAGTTATAAGATGTAGGGCAATGCAGACGGAACGATGCAGTTGATTCAAGACGTTTTGGAAAAACATTTAAGAAAATGCAATACCCGAATGGAAATAAAATTAGAACATATCAGTCAAGAGTTTGAGTTATTGACAGTGAAATTGCATGATTTGGTAAGTGTATGTCATCTGAAGATAATGGCAAGAAAATAAACGTTTCTCGATAAAAAGTTATTGAGTTTGGCTGGCAGTAAAATAGATCTCAAAACTGAGTACTTTCAGCCCTTTTTTGCGAAAAAAACCAACAAAATTCGATAAACAATACGCGTCACTTTGACTCTTATTAGTATTAAAGCAAACCAACAACATTGACATGAAACGAGTTGGTTACGTCTTGTGTTTTCCTCTCTCTTGAGATATTTGAAGGGAAAGTATTGCCGTATTCGAGGGAATAATTATATCTTGGCTTATTTTTGCCCGAAGTAAGGCCATTTAAACTACAGTATACAAAATAACTTGAGGCTGCCTCTTGTTTGTTTGTAGTTAAAAATCTACCTGTGACTCATGGCGGAAACTGGGATTGTCATGACAATCCTCTTCATACTTGTCTCGGTGGATATCGTGGGGAATTCTCTCGTTTGTGCGATAATATGGAAAAATAGAAATCTCAGGTATGTTAGAGAGTTGCAAGCAGTAGAACCTCTCCTTTAAGGTATCTCTAGTTAATGGACACCTCTCCTCTGTGCTTCGTACGATCTGAATCAGACCGATTATTCTTAAAGCTGCAAAAAGAGTAAGCAAGTATAATATAAAGCGGAAGCGCATAAGAGTTTATCTAAAACAAAAAGAAAAAGATAACCCATTTTTTCAGCTTGGTAATGGAATAGTAAAAGATATTTTGTCGTCTTCTCACGAGTTGGGGAAAAGGAGTATATCAGATGATCTGAGTCCGTCAGAGTATTCCAACCTCTGTCGCCCGGCGGTTGAGGACTAACGCGCTAAAAGACTGAGGTTCTATACCATACGAGGACTATAATAATTAAACTAGCAGGAAGCCAACTTAATGAAGCGAACTCGATACCTTTTTGTGATTACTAGTTATTATTTCTTTGCGTATTTTCATCACCATAGGACCCCCAGTCATATTCTACTTTTTAACCTTGCTGTGGCGGATGGTCTCTTTGCGTTGTTGATTGCACCAAACCTTATTGTGAACCTCAATTCAAAGCACCCCGAGGGGGCGGGTGGTTCAGTTTTGTGCCTGTTGATAACTGGTGGAGCCTTCGCGTGGGCTGCAGCACTGTGTGCCATTTATACTCTGGTTGCGATTGCCGTCGAAAGATACTATGCAGTCACTGATCCGTACGGCAAGAAAAGGAATTTCACTAGGAGAAAACTGAAGGTTCGTTCTGATTCAGTTTTTCTGCATTGAAAGTTACGATGGAAACATTAAACAACTCTCTCACAACTAAACTTCGTGCACTAACATAGGCGAGTAGGCAAATTTTTTGGCATTGGCGTCAGTGAAGTCTCAAATATTTTTTAAAAACTTACTGTGCGTGGTCTAATAAGAGCAATGATCAGTGCGAAGATCGTACTGGCGGACTTGTATCAGCCCAAGGTAGGCGTCCAAAGTCTTGACAGGAAGAATCGAGAAAGATCATCAAACACCACATGGCTAAGTCGATTGTAACTTCTAAACCCAAATATTCCCTGGAATCTAGATCACTTTCATGAGCACAACGGGTAGAAATAACCTTAAGAGAAGTAGACTTCACTAAATGTGATTGCCGCCAACGTTTCATAACCTGTGGATTTTTTTTTTAACTTGCATCATGCGCCCTTTCTTTGTACTCACCGTAATTAGTATAGTATACATCGAAAGCCGTATAAACAAGGGCACATTTCGGAATTATCAACAAGTCCCGTGGGTGCAGGCCCAGAAACATACAGAATATACGGGCAGCTCGTGCAGTTAGTAATGGTAAAAGGACTGAGAGGAGTCCAATTCGGTCTGTAATCATACGAGTGATTGACGAAATCGGACAACCGCGAGGTGGGACTCAGATATGTTAATTAAGATTATGATTACAGACAGAATTGGACGACACTAAGTCCTGTTACCGATAAATCAAGACTATGAAAAAATTTGACAAAAGACAACCGTCGTTTATACGCTTACATAAAAAACCAACAACAACAACAGTAAATTCGGAGAAATGCGCCGCAACAGTACGCGCATGTGCACAGAACACGTGCTGTCAATTACAGAGGCATGACGCGTGTACACTGTCCAATTGCAAGTATGAAGCGTTCATTTTCCTATTTATAACCAGTCACGTTCCAGAATTTATGATGGTTTTGATTATTATTATCATTGTCATTGACACAGTCACTGTTAGTGTCCCTGACATTATCATAATCACTGATCTTCATCGTTATTATTATTATTATTGATATAATTATAATTATCATTAATACTGTTGATTTTTATTCGAACTCCCAAATTTCGACATTTCATTGCAGGTAATGATAGCAGCTTTCTGGATATTTGCCGTAATAGCATGCATCCCCAGCAGCATGTACATGAAGGTCAATAATGGCTACTGCTATGGACATTTTCCTAAAGAATGGACTATCAAGGCTTATAGTGTATGGTACGCCGCCCAAGTATTTGTTGCCTTGTTTCTGATGGTCATGTTATACTCCAGAGTCGTGCGCACGTTATGGTTTGAGTCAAATATTGTTGCCAACCCTGTGACATCTCAGCGAAGGGTAAGTACCCTTATAAAGTCGTACAGTTTTCTTTTGCTTCTGTTTTTTTTTTAGCTTCCTTTTCTTTTCTAATTTGAAATCTTCAAGTTTCACTTACGACAAAACTGTTTCGTAGCTAGTATGACGCAAGTGTATGACGCTAGTATGACGCAATTCGAAGTTTGTAAAGGGTTGAACATGGCTCTACGAAAGGGAGACAGACAGTGGCTAACATCTTGTACTTTAAGACCGAGACTTTTTAGCGTGATACTCAAACAGTTTGCTTAGTAAATTTAAAAGCAATTTGATAATTTTCTAGGACGATTTTAAACGCCGCGTGATACCTGCCCACGGATACTTTTTCGCAAGTATTTTACAAGTTTTTAAATTTAAAAGAGTATTTTTTTAAAAGAGTATTTTTGGCGTTAGTTGTCGTTGACGCTGTTTCTTCCTTTTTCGCTTTGCCTTTTGTTTATACAGCTATTTCAATTTACGTTGTCGGATCAAAGCTTCAAGGGTACGGGACAAGACCGAAAGGCGGTATGGGTAGATTAGAATTAATTTTAGGCTTTCGGGGTTGTCGGCGCGAGATGGACATGGAGGCTGAAAATACAATTAGTATTGCCTTGCGCGTCTTAACAAAGAGCAACAAGAACAGATATGACTCCTATGACTCCCCATATTCCCCTTCGGTCTTGTCTTGTAGGCTTGAGGCTTTGATCCGACAACGTAAATTGAAATAGCTGTATGTTGTCTTTTTTATATTAATTTGGCATTTATTCGTTTCTGTTTGTTCTTGTTGTTGTTTTTTTTTTGGCCAAGAGTAGCGGCAAGATTGTTAGATATTACCTTATTCATTCAAGTGTATTCTGTTTACACGATTTAAGATAGACCAAATGAACACCCAGTTTTTCTTAACAAACATTTCTGGCCCAAAAGATTACCTGGACGACTTTTGCGTTGACAAAAAGTGAAAAAAGGAGGTTCGTCGATTTTATTTTCTTCGTGTTGACTTTCTCTTAACAGGCGTGCGCCCAAATTTCCTAGCACGTGTTTCCGTTGAATTTACCGCAAACTGCCTCATATCATAATAATTTTTGTCAAAAAAAAGTAAAAGAGGATTCTAACAATCTTTAAAATCCTGTACTGGGGCGGTTTGTCCTCGTTCTTTTCAACTAACCTCAGTTGGCGCTTTGACGATAGCGTCCGACGATGGAGAAAGAAAAGTAGAACAACTTCTCTGAATTATTTTGTTAAATGCAGATAAAACAAAATATCACGGTATTTTTAACATTAAGAAAGTTTTTGTCTCGATAGTTTTCTTTTAAGTATTTAGTAAATTTCCATTTTTAAAACACTTTCCAATCCTCAGGGTGTAATGAGAGTCCGCAAGCGAGTCACCTTAATGGCTGTGGTTGTCAGTATCATATTTGGAATCTGCTGGGGCACAACCAATATTCTTTCCACCTTGCATACTTTTAAGGTTTTTCGGTTCAGTAAAGTCGTAATCGCAATTTGCAACATTCTGATATTGTTTAATTCTACTATCAATCCCTTTGTGTATGCTCTGCTCAGCGAAAACTTCAGACAGAAATTAAAAGAAATGGTCCGATTCCCAAGGGCTACTGTTGGTGCCACAACGGAGCTTCATAACATTGAGGTCCACATTGCAAGAGATAAATCCAACATCCCTGATGTTTCGATCAATACAACAACATGCGTGAGCCAGGAGTAAAAAAAAAACAACATTTTTCAAGCGATCATTTAATTAAATAACACGTTATAAGTAGACTTGAAAAACTGGCACTTAGCATAGAAATTGTTGTTGTTGTTATTTTTTGCGAGAAGCTGTACAGATACAGTTCAATTTAGGAATATATATGACAAGATAAAATAATTGGACTATTGTTTTCTCTTGATATGACTGTTTCACTTCTTATTAATCAACGCGAAAATAAAAGGGAATATCGTGCAATAATAGATGTGTTACCCATTAAAGGATGTATACAAGTTGAACAATACATATCAAAATAAATGTGCTTTCAAACACCTTGCGTTGAATATGTCATTTTGGCTGTTACAAACGCGTTGCAATTAAGCTTACTACGGACAGTATTTAAGAGGCCAGTCGAGCCGTAGAATTGCGGGAAATAGCATGCTTTATCAGAGTTGAACAGGATGCAGAAACCTGACCAGATTGCGCTCAACCTTGTACTCGTCAATGTATTTGAGAAACAGTTATAAGGTTTTGGGATTTTGGTCATCTGGTCGAAAAGTGGCCATATTTATTCTAAACAGGAGTGCGATAGTTAATCAGACCACTCCAAAACTTGATCCTTCAAGGAGGGTAAGCCTATCTTGACACAAATCTACAAAGAGTTGACCTCTTCTCACGAGCGAGTGGAATTACCCTCTTACTTGCCAGGATAACGCTCCCTCCATGAAAACCATCACTTGAAAATACCAGATTTGTTATTTTACATTATCTCCATCTCCCCGATTAGTTAACCAAAAACCTCACGTTAAAGCGTACTTATAATAAACGTGAGCAAGTTAAAATGAGCCTTTTGGGTCAGCGTATACGTAGAAGATAGCTTACACGATAACGGTAAGCCAATTATATCAGGAATGTTTGAGAAAGGTATCCTAAGCTCTCCTTATTACTAAGAGACATCTACGAGCTCTAGTCAACTCCTCTAAGGTAAGGGAGTTTATATATTACTTTCTTAACATCTCAAATCTTTAAACCTAAAACGGTGGTATGTGTTCATTCCTTGTCATATACGTGATATTCGTGCGGCCTTCAAAGCGTTCGTGAACAGCAGCTCGTAAGAACACTAGTTTTTATCGACTTGTTAGCCAAGAGGACAGGCACAAAGATGAATGTTGCCGGGAGTGGTGCAAAAGAATTGAACGACCAATCTCCTGGTCTTCACCGTCATCTCTTACAGATCGCGAATTTCGCGGTAGTGGTTGAAAAGTAAATCTCAGGTGTACCGGCAGTCACGCTTAAGATAGTGGCTGTTACTTTTAGGCTTAATAACTTATTACCTGCGGGAAGAGCAACATTTACCATCTTTCTGGCCATCCCCCAATAATCTTCAATAACTTATGTCGTATATCTAATGGGGTCAGGGGCCATCTCGGTTATTAGAATAGTCAATTGTCTGTTGTCGCAGGTGTTTTTTCCTCTTTTTTCTCTCCTCTTCCTTCAGTCTTCTTTCTTGCATCTGAGTTCGCGCTAAAGGTAAATGCTGATAGAACTTTTCTTTTGTAAAAGAAAATAATGAAAACGTGAGTAAACATTACGTATACATCATAATTTACCCTGTCAAATATACGCTTAAACGTTCTTAGTTTCTTTCCAAACGCTTAGCGCCTGAAACCCTTTAAGCGAACGAGGGAAAAAAATAAGAAACGAAGACCTTGATAGCGATACGATACTAACTCATCTCTCGAGTATTTAATTCTTTCCATCCTTTTCCGTTTCCGGCCTTGAATATCGTATGGGATCTTGATTAAAAAAAAAACAGGAGGAAGTGTAAATCAAGTGAGGACAGGTATGCTACGATAATTCAGTTTTCCAAGCTTTCGCCGATCTACGGCATCATCAGGGATGACATACATAAACTATTTGTCACCAGTTCTTCGAGATTGTTATTTTATGGAGACATAGTTCTGACTCGGTTGAGAATCCTCCTGCGACAAGAGGCCAGTCTGCTAACATCTGGAATTTATGAATGGACATTTCAGCACTATGATCAACGAGATCGCTTACATGTTCTGTAACAGTTCGGTGGACAGTCTTTTGGCTGAGAGAGGATGCCGTGTTAGAGTTTTCACAAGCAGTATGTTTTGATAAGAGCCTGACCATTTGTTGTTCACGTAACCTTTCAGACTTTGATATTTACTCAGCAGGTATTTTTAATTACTTTTTTTAGTGCAATGTCTGTTTGGCCATTAAGCCACTTTACTTATTGAACAGAGCTTTCGTTGCTAGACGTAAACAGGATGTTGTTACGAATCAACGCCAAAAAAAAGTTCCCTTTGTGTCACTTCAGCCGTCTTCTAAAACAGAGCTGACCTATTCGCCAAGATGCTGCTTGATTCGTTACTGTGATTATCGTGACGGGAGGTGATCGGTTGGAATGGTCGGTAGAAATAAAAAAAAAAATTAATGTGCAGCAGTTAAGGTAAGGATCTTCCTGATCGAGCAATCTCTCTTTGTGAAATGACGTTGTGTTGCGATATATTGAATTAAGAGATGTTTCATTAGGTAACTAGTAGGTCAGTCCATGGGATGTTAGTGCTGTTGTCAACAGTCAGTTACAAAAAAAAAAAAAAAAGCTATTAGAAAGAAAACCGTCGATTTTCTTTTCCGTTGCTCTTTTTCCGTTTCTTCGATAAAAGTAGGGCTAGCCTTCAGGCCTTTAAAGACACATAGTATGCGTCCTTAAGAGGAAAAAGGTAATCACAATGCCGAGCTCTAGCGAATGAAGCAAGTTGCCAAATCTAATTAATAGGAAAGGTAATCATTCGGGACATTCAGAATTACTATATATAGCTTGGATTTCATCCACAAGAAACCGTAAATTTAACCAGCTGTTCCTCAATGTAAGATGAAATGCAAACTTTTTTCAGTGGTATATATCCCATGCGTGTCATAAAATGTTAATTAATAAAGCAGACTTTTTGGAATTGCCAAAATCCAACTTAGAGGCGACAACTAACAGCGGACAGATATCTGCGCCCCGCAAACTTCTTCGTCACAATAAGTTATTGTTTCCAAAACACTTCTACTAATTTAAACGCTGTGATCAACATTAAAATTCAAATGAATGTGTGTTAGCGAAAATTCATGCGGGGACAGTTTTTTTGTCGCAAGGACAACGACTGTAACGTAAATTTAAATGTCCCTACCGTGAGCCTGGCTGAACCAAATAACTTCAACACGTTTCGTCGCAACTACTTGTAGAGTTCAAGCTGTGATTTGAGAGATTTAAAATTTCATTAAAAAAGCCAGCTGATCGGTTAAGTAAACATGTCAAAGTTCATATTGAAATTTCCTACATTGCTGCCTCGAGAGGGAATTCGAAACTTTTCAACAATAGTTACTTTTTCAAAATAGCAGCTGTTTCTTCGCCAAAAGAACATGAATTTCCATGCATTCAGTCGCTCTGTTATCACTTGAAAAGAAAACAGTGCTTTCAATCAACGACAGCCAACGAAACCATTTTGCTTATCCGTGTCGACAATGACGTCTGAAAGTATGGCTTAGGGGGCCTAAAGCAAGGTGTTTTAAGATGATTCAAATGACGTGTTCAAAGTTGTTAAGAAGGAGTTCTACTCGATAAAATGATCTGAAGATAAGTGTTTACTTTTCAATCGAAATCTTAGTTTCTGAACCAATACCATGTACCCACTGCAAAAGATTAAAAAATTCCATGGAGGTTCCCGCTGTGCAATATTTATGATATCTACCGACTGTCAGATTGTAAGGTTGCTACAGCAAGATTCAGGTGGCAGGATTCAGAGTTTATCACCGTAGCTTCCTCTTCCTTCGCCTCGCCTCGCCGAAGCTCAACTGTGACCAGGGGAAACTTTAGGTTACGTCGCGTAAGTAAAAAACCTTGAAATCTTGTTCACCTTTACGAGCCTGGTTGTGATTGGTAATATTATTTTTAATTTTGAATTTATTGTTGACGCATGCATTGACTGATCATGATAGTGAACCACAAACAGAGATGGGTGTCTTTCTTTCTAGGTCCTGTCGTTCTGTTTGGAACTCTGTCTTTGATCTGCTAATCAACTTGATTTCGCTTAAAAGTCCGTCACAACTCAGTTATTTATTTACACGTTTTGGCACAGGTAGCCCAAGCTTGTTATGACGCAAAGGGATTTGTGGAAGAGAACCAACCCGTTGTATTGAGAGACCACAACAACGTCAGAGATTAGGCTTAAGTAAAGTGACTCACGTCGCTGCAGTTTTAAGTACCTGTATAGGATTTATCGAAAAAAAAAATGGAAGGAGCTCCGAACTAACCCCGAGACTCGCTGTAAATCGTCCCAAAAACCATAACAGAAAGAGGAAAAAACGATAAGAATGAAATCAGGTTATTATGTTATTGTGTAACATATATTTTGGGGGAATGATCCGAGAAGCGAAAAATCCAAGCTCAGAATGACCGGGCGACCGCAAAGCCAACGCAGAATCCAAGCACATATACCGTAGTTTCATTTCAATTCACTAAAAACTCAATCTTCCCCGCGCAACCGACACTAAGCCGCAGTTTGCTTCAAAAATTTCCAGTTTAGAGGTTTCTAACAGCCCGCGGCCACATCAACCTTGACACACGACCGTTGAAAACCAGCTTGGTAACCCTACCTCCTTTTCAAACTGAGCCTCGCCGGGGACCATACCGTCAGTTATCGTCAATAAATTGTTTAGAACCACGGGTCCCCTCAAAAGAAATCGATCAAGAGGCTATTGTTTCGATCGGCTAATCGAATTCGTCTCCGGAAATGTTTACATTGCCTGTGTTCAATCAAGGCAAGGGTTTTTGCTCAATGTTAGCGCGCGCGCCAGCGTAATGTTTTTTCTAGAAAATGTTTTGTTTTTGCTCTTCAAGATCATTTAAAGCCATAAAAAAGGCGATGAGCCAGGTTCGCACCATCGTTTGTTTTAGGCAACGCTCATCAACGATACTGTTTGGCTTTGCCTTTGACTTTCTTCAATTTGCTTCAGTGAAATCTCTCAATTTTTGAAAAAACCTTGAAAATTGTTTCGATCGGCTAATCGAATTCGTCTCCGGAAATGTTTACATTGCCTGTGTTCAATCAAGGCAAGGGTTTTTGCTCAATGTTTTCTAGAAAATGTTTTGTTTTTGCTCTTCATTCGTCTTGGGCTGCCTGTGCTGTAACCCCTATTTTTTTCGGCTTTTAAATGATCGGGAGGACAAATTTCACAAATGTGCTCAAATCTACAAAAAAATGAATCGCTAATTAATAAAGCATCGATACAGAATTTCTGGCGTCATTTCGGATAATGTTAGTGAAGAGAACGTGTGTTGAGCATACGGTAGACCTTCGCAGGTGCTCACGATAAAACCGTTAAAGTACTGTTTGAAACTTTACCCCAAT